AAAGTAATCATCGAGCAGAGACAGTTCAGGAATGGTTTGAGGAGTAATAACAGGTCAGAGGTGTTGACTCCATTTGAATTCCTGACATCGCAATATTGTGTGTGTTTTTGGTTTGCCGAAAATTGATTAAAATTACATTTTAGACTACAAGAAGTATGGATCTTTCCCTAAATGTATGATTGCAGCTCAAACTTTATTGAAGATACTTTTTACAAGCCTAATTTACAGCTGATAGCTCTGGACAAAGACTACCCTCTATTCCCAAACTGCCAAGCTTTGTGCAAGAGACATTTGGGTCCCATGTTCTGTTCCTCAACATGATTCATGCTTTTGACTCTTCTAAATTATGACCCTTGGGGCATCCAGACCAGAGTCACCCTAAAGCCCTTCATCACCAAAGAGGCATTTGTGTGCACAGTAATTTATTTAATTTCAATGAATGCTGCAAGGCTGTGTTGCAATGCTTCATCATAACCCCAGGGCCGTCCACAGCCACAGAGACCTTCTCTGTGTCCCCTGGACAGATAGTCCATTCCTGTTTTTGACCCACACAGGCTCACCATTCATTTTTAATTTTGGTTATATGTAGAGGGAGGGTGGAGTGCATTAAATATGCTACGGCTGGTCAGCTCCTTCCAAACAGGAAGACCTATTTGGAGCTGATATACTTGGCCTCTGTGTTTACTCCCCTGCAGCAAATAACAGATAACAACACAGAAAAGCCTGTATTTTATTGCCAAAAACATCAAATCTGACACCATATCAGCTTATATTTACTTCATTTTCAAAGTGCTCCATATCAGTAAATTTACATGCAATCGCCACTATTAAAAAATACACTATTTTCATTGAAATGGGACATGCTTGGACATGTTTGGATCTGTGCGCTCACTATGAAAAGAGGCGTATTGCTTTATTAATGCTCTTGGCATCCATACTAAAGTGTTCTTGATGAGTCTTTACAGATATGCTCTCTTAATACCTGAAAACAATAAAAAAAAATAAAAACCTTGTACTTAAAAAAAGGGCTCAGAAGTTCTTAACAAGCTTTCATTCTGCACTAATTTAATTCCAGCAGCCTTTGTCCTCAAACACTGAAGCATTCTATTCTTGATTGCCAATTATGTGCGCTTGGTTGACTCCACGGCAGCCTGAAGAAGTGGGGTCGACTGGCTCGACTGGGCTTTTAAAAAAAGATCTTTTCACAGAAATATATGCTTGATGGATTAAATCAGCAAAATACTTGGGGGCTTAAGTTCATAAAGAAGACTTAACTAAACTTTGCAAGACTGTCTCAATGATGCAGGCATTTCTGGGTGAGATTTCCAGCAGCCCAATTTCATTCCTATTCACTTATTTAACAAGCTTTGACAGATTTATGCTCCTTTCTTAATATAGTAACCTCTATAGGTCCTGTCAGGTCTTCTATGTCTTGTTCCTAATAGGCCCCTCAGCTGATTCACACATTGTGATCATAACGGCTTTTGAAAATGTCTGTGACGTTCGTGCTAAAAGAAGAAACTGCTGCAGGATATTATTCCAAAATTGCTTCTTTAGCCTCTTGAGCAAATATCAGAATGCAGGTTGAAAAGTCTGACATATTTGGGCCAGAAAGTTCAGCTCTGAAATGGCAGCTAATGAGCACCCCTAATTAGTTGGCATAATGGGGCTTGGTTTACTACTTGTTTTGAAGAGTTCAGTATTATTCATTAAATTAGAATAGAAATACTGTCTAAAAAAATGCCTGCATTTTGGAAATTATGCTTTAGCTTCATGGTGTTTCGGTTTTAGTTTTAGACAGGTGTGGTTATTTTAGACTGCATGAAAACAGATGGCTTTAGATATAATATTTCCAAAACAGATTTAATAGATTTGAGAAGTTTCACTGGCAGAGTGCAGTAACTCTGCTGATCCTTGCATCAACTTTACCAAAGACCCATTTGTGCCTCTGCAGATCCCACTGATCAGAGCTGTTTGTGTCGTCTTGTGTTTTGTCTTGTTGATGTTTGATGTGGAGTTAAGTAAACTGTGATTATCTGCTCCTTCTGTGCCTCTCCCAGGACAGAGACGCTCATAGCTAATGAAGTCAGCCATATGTTGAAGAAAAAAAGACGAGAGACAACCTGATTGTGCTAATTACATGTACCTTCACTGCCTAGTACATCATACCAGCAGGAAGCTCAGAGGCTTTTGTTCCCAGCTTGTGCCTTAATGGCCTTATTATCCGATCTTCGAGGTGTTTCATGATCCCATTCATATGTGTTATGCTAGGTGGTAGTCAGAGGGTTCAAACTGGATTTTCTACATTGTTCAAGTCTTGTGCTGAGTTTTTTTTTTGTTTGTTTGTTTTGTTTAAGAATATTCAAATCCTTATCTGATTTTTGTTATATTTTATAGCAATTATTTCAATGGTAAACATCTTTCAAACTTCTCGGTACAAGCAAATAATAATATTCAAGGTTTAGAAAATCGGGATACAATCAACATTTGTCTTGATTGTTCATATGTACTTCTATGTTCTTTTTGCACTTAGTTGTAGCCAGTTTGCTGCTAAAAACAGCACAGAAGATCGGCACGCAGCTTTTCAACCAGAAGAATAAACAGAAATAAAGTGAAGTGCTTTATGAAAATTGATGTGCGACATTGGCGTTGGGTGCAGGAGTGTCGCTATGTCCTTAGGCAAGACACTTCACCTGCATTGCCTACTGATGGTGGTGGGAGAGACCAGTGGTGCAAGTGTATGGCAGCCTCGCTTCTGTCAGTGGCTACAATGTAGTTTGCCACCATCAGTGCGTGCCATATGTGTGTGAATGACTGAATGTAGTGTAAAGCTCTATGGTCAAGTCTCCTGACTTGAAAAAGGGCTATATAAGTACAGGCCATTTACCAAAATATAGATGTGCTGTGCAGTGCAATTTTCTAATGGCCCTAAACGTAGCATCCAACTTTGGCAGCCTAGGTCAACAAAATTTAAACACTTTTAAGAAATTAGGAATCGGCTGATCATCAATATTTGAAGTCATGACTTCTAAAAATAGCATTAGGTAGTTCTGTCCATAGGTTAATTATTGGTGGATACATTTTTCTTTTTTATACAACATTGTATAGATTTGTGCATTTGTTCATTTCTCAATAAATTTCTAACTAAATAAGTAACCACCCTTACTCTCCTACTTAACCTTCATTTTATTTTAAGTTGTTTTTCTCTTTCTTTCCAACCTGAGGTTAGAACCACTGCTCCCCATGGAATACATATCACAGGCTGGTGTTGTCCTTGTTTTACCCCCCACACCCCCTTGTTCTTATGGTATCATTCATAATTAAATCCATCAACAGTTTCCCTTGGACATCCAAACATATGGTGAGGTATCCCTACCCATTTACCCCCCCCCCCTCCATTTACTGCTTATCCGGCTGACTCTCACCACAACCTCTCACTCGCTGTCGCTCTCCCAAACCCATCTCATTGTCTATGCTTTTCCGCCTGGCTGACCACCTCCATCACCTCCCTCTTATGCGGATTTTAGTCCAGACAGGCAGAGCTGATTGGCTGTGAAATCCAGTGGTGACTCTGGATTGGATGAGGATATATATACAGGGGCAGACTTAACAGTTTGAATGGTGAGCGACACTGACCGCCTGCCAGAAGTGTAGACTGACAGGGATATCTGTATCTGCCATTTTGTGAGGTAAGGTGGGGTTTTGTAGTTTTTACTCTAGACTTCATTAAGCTATTTCTGTTCACAGTAGATAGCTACCTCAGTTAACAGGAGTTTATTGTTTTTACGTTGGAGGTTTAATTTGTATGGATGACAGTTTGCTCTAGTTTCGTGTAAACTTTTCCCACAGTTTGGCATATTGTTGCTATTCTTTGCATGCTTGCCTTCATCCTCCCACCGAATCTTTATTATTTTTTTAAAAGTGGGGATGGGCATCCTGCAGGGTGAGTCATCAGCACGTTGTTGCTTTTGGCAGCATCTGCTTGCTCACAATGATAACATAAAGCCTAGTTTAAAGTGAAATTTGAAATTCCCCAAGGAAAGTTTGCATCAACTCATGCCTGCAAGTTCAGGCACAAGTTAGGGTGCTACATTTGGGCTTTTTTTTTATCTGCCCTCAGGAGGAGGCAGTCAGTCCAAGTCACATGGCACAAGCACAGGAGAACAGGAAGAAAAGGAGCAGGATAAAGGATGACAGTATATTGTTAGCTCTGGATTAGAGAGAACAAAGGTGGCTCAAATTAGCAAGCGAGAACGTGGCAAAACAGATGGAAGGAGAGAGAAAAAAATGAAGATAACAAAGAGAGAAAGAGTGTGTAAAAACAAAAAATTAAACCGCCATGCTTTGCAGCTTTCAGCAGTTGGATACTCATATATGCAGGCCATATGGAATAGTGTCATACCAAGACTAGGTCACATCAACACACTTTTGAACTCAAAAGCAAGACAGCGGGTTGATCCAGCAGAGTCAAACCTTTGTGCTCATACTCCATGATATGGATACAAATTCTTCCCTCCATAGTGTATAGTGATTCTCTGTTTAATACTGAATGCAAAAGCATGTGTTTCCAGCTTCAGTCTATTCTGTGAATAGTTTTCTTCCAGTATTTTCTGTGCTTAGCTAGGGTTTGGAAGAAAATGATCCAAAGGATGAGAATTGATGAAAGAATGTGACAATGTGTGTGTTTTGTAAAAAAAAAAATAGGAAAGATCTCAAGTAATCTCCATGTGAGGGATTGCCTTTGAGTTAATGAGTTGATTAGCAACTGGTTTTCCTTAGATAGAAAACTTTGAATCAATTTGACTGTATGATCTGGTTGAATTGTAAAGTTCGAGATGTGTGAGATGACGTGTTGTGAACTGGTGCTATATAAATAAACTAAATCGAAATTGAATTGAAACCTTTAGCAAGACACAGTTACTATTAAAGACTGAAAATAAAGGTTTTGTTGTGTTTAACCTCTCATACTTATTTTTTTGCTTTCTCTGTCTCCTTATCAGCTTTCTATGAGAGAAGCAGGAGATGGCCTACACGCTCAGATGAATTCAATGATGGGAGCTCTTCAAGAACTCAAGCTACTTCAGGTCCAGACTGCCCTGGAAAGTCTTGACATATCAGGAAGACCGATTAACAGGGGAATCCCCCATTCTTCTGCAACCATCCATCCTAACCCATCAGCTGTTGCAGCTTCAGGTCTAAATGAAGAGAAAAAGTCAGTTGTGAGACAAAATTTCCCAGAGAAGGCCAACAGCAGTCCTGTGCCAAGTCTGAGGATGTCCATAGATAGCAGAAACTCCTTCAGCAGGGATGATCAGACCTCATCCAGAAACAGAAGCGCTATGGGAACCTTCTCTTCTTCAGCTTCTAGTCTGGAGACAGAGAGTGAGAGTGGAAGTGAAAGAAGTGGAACAAGTGCAAGAAGTGAAAACAATATTGAGTCAATATCAAAGAGGTGGTCTGGCTACTCTGCCCCTCAGGTAGACTTTTATGGACCAATGGTGGGAAACCTACCACAAGAACCCTACCCTAATTCTCAGGCCCCCCGTCATGCACAGGTGGTAGATCTGCCTGGCATCCTGTACAGTCTCTCCAGGGAGGGGCCATCCTTGGACAGTGACTACTCCCAGGACAGCGCAGACGATGCCAGTGACTGGACATCATCACTTATGAGCCGTAGCCGAAACCGTCAGCCCCTGGTGCTTGGGGACAACGTATTTGCAGACCTCGTAGGCAACTGGCTTGACCTGCCTGAGGTCGAGAGAGAGGATGCTGAAGAAAAAGCAAAGAGGAAGAGGAGAGAAGAGAGGACAGTGGAAGAAGAAGACAGACCAGACACACCAGCCCACCCTCTGCGCCTCAGCCGCTCACAAGAGATATGCAGGAAGTTCTCGCTTACTACGAACATCTTCAAGAAGTTTCTACGCAGCGTTCGGCCCGACAGGGACAAGCTTCTCAAAGAGAGGCCTGGCTGGATGGCTCCTGAACTGCCTGAGAGTGACCTCTTCAAAAGGCCCAAGAAGGTGGCTCCTAAGGTTTCCAAAGGCAGTTTTTATCTACCCTTCTGGGCAAACGGACAGCAGGGCAAAGGCAGGCCATGCCCACATCTAGTTGAAGCAGAAAGGAAACAGCAACAGTATGAGCCCTACCCCCAGTTTTACCAGCAACCATTCCCAGGGATTTATTTAGACAGGCGGCAGCCAGACATGGGTCTGGAGAAAAGGCAACCCTTGTTTGACTATAACACAGCTGTGTGGGTCTAACAGTGAGTCTCGAGCCAAAAGGCTTCCAATGTTGCCAGACTGACTTTGGGACAGGTGCTGGGGGGGTTGGTGTATACGGCTGCAATGGAAGGGAGGGAATAGAAGGATAACCAAGAGGCTGGGTATAATTATGTCTTTTAGAAATAAAGTGGTACACTTCAAGCTCTTCCAGCACATGTTCCATTGTTACTGAGTGATTATCAGGGCAACATGTTGTATGACAATCTGAGAACCTTGTGTTCTGTGAATGACTGAAAATGTGCTGCAGTGTGAGTGAGTCTTCAAGTTTTATGCTCATGTTTTGTATGTTTCAGAAGTCTTTGCACGTGTGCATGTATGATTGGACCATCTGGGTGCTGCAGAAGATGGTACTTTGACACAAACATCCTTTTCAGAATGTCACCAGATACTTAAAAAAAACTACAACCAACATTTTTCATTGTTACAGTGCCGGACATGACTGCACTTGCTCCTCTGCATCTATGAATAGCAACCAACAGTAGTCATATTACATTGTTCCACGTTTCATACATGAGGCTGTTGACAGTTTGAACTGAATGCACTTAAAGTGTTTTCTTCTGTTTCCAAAAAGGTTCTGATAGTCAGGTTAAACTGGACTAGCTTTGTTCCTTCTGCTCAGGAAAAATACATAAGAAAACAACTCAAATAAACACTGCCACACTTCAATTGATCTTTATTATATGTTAGCAAAGTCCGCCTTGGATCTAACTTTGCCCAGACTGACATAATATGGTGTATGCTTAACTCAAAGTCTGCACTTGAATGAATAGTGTTGAGCTGGGTTTCAATATACCCAGAATCACTTTTCCCTATTGCATTGCCAACAGTGTTGTTTCAGCAAAAGGGGGTAAAGATGACACACCCAAGCATGACCACTGTATAACCAGCAGCCATCTGGTATCTTAGTTACTATTGAAAGCATGTCTGAAGCTTGAAAAAAGTTGCAGAACAAGCCTGATTAATCCCAAAGCTTTATGAATGAAAGGGATAATGAGAGGCTGTTCTTTGGGTTGTGAGAGAACTGAAATAATACATTTTGGAAAAAATGACCAGCACTCATCAAGGTGAAGTTAACAAACCTAATGTATAGAACTTTGTACATATCTTATCACAGACCAAACAGCAGCAATAATCAGCATTTACTATAATATGCTGTTGCATGACTTCCATTATTCCATTCTGTGCAAATATGAATATTTAAAACACACTTAAAGAATTACATGTGAAGAATGCCACAGTCATTGGATTTAGTGTATTGTTTTCTTCTGTCATAAAAATCACCACAATCTTCTTTCACAATCCCCCCTCAGGATTACAGACACTGCCTACTCTGCTTATAATAGAGTGCTACTGTTATGCAAGGACAATCTGAGGCTCTTTACTTAATATGGATAAAGAATATTTTATTTTGCTTAATTTTAAATGGGGTAACAGACCAAGCAACTCAGTGAGCAGGGATTAGGCCTCAGAGGTCTTTTTAGCGTCTTGGCCAGAAGATCCATATGGCTTATAGTCTCAGTATTCAGGTCAATATGTTCTGCACATTCAGAGGGTCACACACCCACAGGGACACACACATATTCTGCTACTACAGTCGCACCACAAAGTGCAGCAGTCTGAGATGTTAAATCACTCAGTTTGTCTTTGTAAATTGAACATTTATTCCTTCTTGCTAAAATGTTCATGGTTGTTAGTTTTTGCAATGTTAATATTTTTCATCGAGGTTCTGCGAACCATTTGTACTGTTCTTATGTCCTGTGCTGTAAATCTGTCTGTGACTTTCATAAATTAAAACTGTTTTACAGAGAGTAATATTTCTGGCTGTGTTTTAATTTTTTTGTGTGTTTTAGAGAATTTATACACCACTGTCTCCTGACACTTTTTTTTTTTTTTTTGCTAATTTCAATCAACATTAACTGTAACTAATGTAATATATCAAAGAGTAGAGGTAAAGATAAAACAATAACATTTGGCAGTATGTTTTTTGGTTTTCCTGCTATTTAATATAAGAATCAGGGAAAAGAAAAAAATCTGTTTAGTAGTAGTAGTGCACATGCAGCATATTTTTTATTAAAGCTTAAATTGCAAAACAATCAGTTATAAAAGTATAAAATAATATACTTGGCATATATATTTACGGATTCCACTCATAAAGATCCTTGCAAATGCTTTGCATTGCATTAAACATGTTCTTACCATTAACTCTGATCATTTTCCCCATCCCTGCTGAACTAAAGTATTCACATACATGACAGTCGCTACCATTGAGGACACCGAGGTCAAGACCTCAGTATTTTTCCGTTTTGTATATAACATAAAATCAATGAAAATAACGCTTTCAAACGGCATGGGTCTTTACTAGGTTACTAAAGGGGGTGCTGCAACTGTGTAAGGCAGCCTAGCTTAATGTCAAAGAGAGTTCTGCTTTGCAATCCCTACTGTAAGACACTAGCAGAATATGAGTGCAGCTAGAAAAAAAGGAGCAGAAGTCAAAAAAATGTTTTAACTATTTTACTTCAATTATTAATTAATTAGTCTTCAGTCTTCATAACGCAGTTTAAGTTTAGTTAAAACCCTCAGCCTTTACCCAGAGGAGCTGAAGGGCAGTCTAGGCATCTCTGCTGAGACTGCTGCCGCAGCCGCCTGGGACCAGATAAGCTGAATTTAGTGAAAATTAGAATTGTGAGAGCTTATCAACAAAATTATTTGATTTGTGTTGCTTCATTTTCTGTAAGCAGACAAATTATGCTTCATTTTCAAAAGCCAAAATTATAGTTTCACTATAAAATATGTATGTTTAATTAACAAAGTGCACTTAATTTAGATTTAGATTTTTTTTAGGAAAATATTTCTGTTAGTGGATTTCATTTTTTTTTTTTTTCTTTTATGTGGCATCTGCCATGTCCTCATATCACCATGCTGCCACTACCTTGTTTAACCATGCATTTTTTTTTTTACAAGTTGCCTGTGGAAAAATGCATGGACCATTTATTTTTCTTTGGTTTCAACAATGAATTTCTTTCTTATATGCTCATCCATCCACAAAGTTTAAACTTTTGTGAAAAATGACCAATGGAAATCAAATGTATTAACCAATGAAGGTCTGGATTTAGAGTCACACAAAATTAAGATTAGAAAACACTACAGGCTGATCCACCTTTGACGTGATGTCATTAAAACAGGTCAAAACGAGGCTGAGTGTTATCTGTGGCCTCCAAGTGCCTGTATGACCTCTCTACAACACCTGGGCATGCTATGGTCTCCTAAGGGGGGTCTCTTCCAAGACCTGGACTAAAGCATTCGCCAACTTCTGGACAATTTGTTGTGCAACTTGACGGTGGATGGTTCGAGACATGATGTTGCAGATGTGCTCAGTCAGATTCAGGTCTGGTGACAACTCCATAGATTCAATGGAGTGGTCATCATGAGGTCTGCCATTGTCATGTCCTGTCTTAGGAGGAACCCAGGGCAAACCGCTCCAGCAAATGGTCTCACAAGGGGTCTGAAGATTTCATTCGGTACGTAATAGAAGTCATGCTTCCTCTGGTGAGCACAAGGAGGGCTGTGGGGCCTTCCAACGAAATGCCAGCCTTTTTGCCACAGCTGGCATTGATGTGCCATTCTGGATGAGCTACACTATCTGAGTCACTTGTGTGAGTTGTAGAGTCCATCTCATGCTACCACAAGTGTTAAAGCACCACCAACATTAAAAAGTGAACCTAACATCAACAGTAGCTTTGTTACTGAGAAGTGTTCTGTGGTCCCCACCTGCAGAGCCACTCCTTTATCTAGTCTATCTTGGTAATTGCCAATTTCCTCCGGTGCTCGCATGTAAAATAGATGGTCACCAGTGTTGCTTCCTAAGTGAAAAGTTTGATTTCACAGAAGTTTGATTTGATTAAACAAATATTATGTTTAAATGTTCTCTTTATGGTTTTTAGCAGTGTATATTTGTAAAAAGATTATCCAACCTTAGCTGATAATATTATCAATTTCTTGCATGCGTTCCTTGTTATCCTGGTGCTATTACTTAACACTAGTTTAATAAACCTCATTTGCTCATCAGCTCAAATTATGTTCATATTTCTGTTAACCATCGTGCAAAAATACACGTTGCCAAAAAAACAAATCCTGACATAACCCCTTGTTTCTGCAGCCCTTAGCCTATTCCAGAAAAATGCTGCTGTGTGACTAATAAGTTCACCAAGAGTGAAAGCCTGTGTCTCATTCAAAACCCCGGCATCAACTGGGAACTCAACAGACTCTTAATCTGTACCACAACTCCTTCAGTGGCTTTAATAAATAAAAAAATCAAAATGAATATGACAGTTTGGAAGTTCATCACAGCCTCTTCATGACATTAAATCCCATAGATGCTTTTTGTGAAATACACATCAAACCACATCAGTCAGTTCATATTCCTATTCTAAGCACAATTTAAAAGACATGCCTTGGATCCTTGGATTTAGCACAATTCTTGGGTACAATGTCATCTGCTAAAAGAGTTATTCTTAATTTTGGCAGAAAACTTCAATCTATTTAAAATCTGTTTTTCATTAAGAAAATATTTCTTAAGGGCTTAAATTCTTTGCTCATTTTACAACTTTTTATTGATTAATATATGAGAGTTTTGGGGGTTTAATATGAGATATAAATCGATATTTTGAGGGATTTGCAATCTTAAAATATAATTGTGATTGACAATATGTTATTCTCTTAACCATTTTATTTAGTTTAAAGAGTTAGATAATAAAGAGCTACTCCCTATGAATTTGCTTTAGACACTTGTCATTAGGAAAGATAAACAACAAAACAAAAAGGTTAGAACTTTGCAAAGTTATCTGATTGTTAAACAACAAAAAGAGCTTAAACTGCAAAACCTTTGATTCAAATTATGAATAAGGTCTTTCATCTGATTGTCCTTCAGGGAACCTTTTAACCAATCTGACTGTATGATCTTAATGACTTGTCTCTGTAGAGCGCCGAGATGTTGGCGGTGTTGGCACAAACAGCATTGAATTTAGAAATATAAAGGTTAAATGTGTTCCAGTAACAAATTTCACAGTTTTCCACTATTTCTTATATGATTTAATTGATTTATGTAACTCTACAAACAGGTCAGCTGGCATTTTGGATTACAAAAACCCCACCAATCTTCGTGTGAGAAAGAATAATTATAATCTCTGTGTGTTTCTTAGACCTGCACAACAGCTGTGGATGTATACTCCTCTCCTATGGCTCAGTTTCCCCAGGGATCCCAGCAGTGGACGCTGTCTGACCACATCCTCCGCCTGCTCCTCCCTCCCTCCTCTCCCAGTTCCCAGATTGTCAGCTGTCACAGTCTCACAACTCCATACTCTCTCCACAAATCTGGGGCACACACAATGCCTGAATGTGCACAGCATGGCAACAACTTTAAATGTCAGAAGGTCTGGAGCTTTATCAAACATTAAGATGGTCATCCCACAACTCAGGATCAGCTTGGGTTGAAAGCTTATTTAAAATCTGTAATAATTACAGGAAAACAAAGGACCTTTTTATAAGCAAATTAAGTAACTAAGGGAATACAGTATCTAAGCATGCACTCTTGGATTCTACTGCAGGCCAATTTCCTGCTCAGTGCTCATCTTTCAATAAACCCTCAGCTGTGCAGCCGCGGGGGCTCTGTCTTGACCCTCAGGAATGCGCTCACGTTTCACTTTTTATAATCGGCAGCAGCTCAAGCCCACAGCCTTCACCCAGTGCCGCTTTCTGTAGGTTCCCACAAGTAACCAGAGACCACTTCATACGTGCATGCTCAGCCAAGCTAAAACTGTGCAAAAACCAGAGTTCATGTGTAGTCGCACAGAAACACCCTCCTACAGACATTTAGAAATTAAAGACTACATCTTAAAGCCACAGAGCAGGGCCAGATTTGTCCAGGAGATAAATGCAAGAGGGAAATCCAGGGCGAATTATTTGGGATTTAACATCTGGCTGCTTTGCAACGCCGCACCATAAGTCTCACACTCTCTTAGTCTGATAATGTAGGAAAAGTGCAACTGCATTAACATGAAATAATGTAGCATTAAACAGGATTAAACTCCAGCTTATGCAAAGATGAAAAGCAGAATGTTACAGGCCGCAAACTAACCAAACATCACTTGGTTTGCATAAAAGTGATACTACATACACAAAGTTTAAATGTTTAATTGTACTTTTATTCAGAGCAATTAAACATTTAGAATCTGCAAGCTTAAAACCGTGAAAACATGTCTTTTTTTTCTCTAGGTATAAACATCCCATAAGCAGCAGAATCTATCGGGGCTGATGTTTGCAGGAGCAATGCAGATATTTTTACCGTCATTTATGATTTAATATAAAGACAAAGTCATATATTATGAGAGGAGAAAGCTTCCAGAAATAAAAGCCTGATCTGCAAAGTGCTTAATATTTCATATGAACTAAATGAATTGGCAAGTTTTCTGGAGTCAAACTGCAGCACAGAGCTCCCTAAAGACCACCCTCCTCTGAAGCTGCATGTGATTGATGTCTTTAGGTCCTCAGACAGGTGAACCCACCAGACAGAAATGTTTTCAGGCTTTGATCTTCTCCCTGGCAGCCAGTCTTTTCTCAATCCAAAGGAATTCAACCCTGCTTGTACAAATGTGGTGTGATGCGCCTGCAGCTGACTGACAGAAGTGCCGTCACGCTGTTGTTTCAGGGCTCTCACCCCACTGACTCCCACTGTTTACTGAAAATAATGAAAACAGAAACACTGTCAGTCTCAACCCTCTGCTAAATGTCAAAACTAATTTAATGTT